TGACACCAAGGGGCCGCCGGCACCGCCGCGCCAGGGCCTCGGCACCCTGAGCCGCGGCCACCTGCAGCGCTTGGCCATCGCCCAGTCGCGGGTGCTCATCGCGGCAGGGTGAGTGCGAGCGGCGCTGGTGCCGCCTCCTGCGTCCCCAGGGGCCTCCCGAAAGGCTATTGAGGCCGAGGCTATTGAGGCCGTGAAGGAATCCCCCCCTGCTCCCCCCGCCCCGGGGCCACTTYGTGCTGGGCAGGGGAGGGGACGGGGGCTCCGCTGCATCAGCCCCTTTCTCCCCTTTGTCTGGCTCCCGCCGCCCGCCTTCTGTCGCCGCCTGGCCCCTTTCCTCCGCCGTCCTCCCCCCGGCCCCCTGACCCCGCCGGGAAACTTTCCCATGGAGCAGAGGCCTGGGGTGGGAGGAAGCAGCCGGAGCGCCGGGGCCCGTGGCGGGCAGCGAGGGAGGAGGGGGGAAGAAAAGCGGGCGCGGACAAAAAGAGGCCATGAATAGTTGGGAGAGGCAGGCGGGGGTTCCAAAGAGCCAAAGAAAAGGCTGCCTTTTTTTCCCTTTCCTGAGGGGCCCGCCGCTAGATTAGGGAATTCTCCCTTTCCCGGTCTGTCGCTCGGGCAACTATTGTGCGGCCCCCGGCCCCGCGGCGTGACCCCGGCTGCCGAGGGGGCTCTTCCCGCCGCCTTTGTGCCGGGAAGAGCCGCGAGCGCCGCCCCTCGCTCTGCCGCAGGGTCCCCACGGTGCCCGTGAAGAACCTGAGCGGCTCCAGCCCCGTGAACCCGGCGCTGGCAGGTGAGGCCGGCCGGGCCGGGGGGCGCGCTGGGGCGCGGGGGGCCGCGGGCGCTGAGCAGGGCCCCTCRCCCGCAGGCATCACGGGCATCCTCATGAGCGCCGCGGGGCTGCCCGTGTGCCTCACGCGGCCCCCCAAGCTGGTGCTGCACCCGCCGCCCGTCAGCAAGAGCGACATCCAGGCCATCCCCGGCCTCTCGCACACGTGCCGCAAGACCACCAAGAAGCAGGCCAAGAAGGGTGAGCGCCGCCGCGTCGCGGCACCGGCGCCGGGCCCGCGGCCCCACCTTCCCGCGCGCCCACGCCGCCTTGTCTCCCCGCCGCAGGCAAAACCCCGGAGGAGGTCCTCAAAAAGTACCTGCAGAAGGTGCGGCACCCGCCGGACGAGGTGAGGGCGGCGGGGCTGCCCGCGGGCACCGCTCCGCGTCCCGGCGCCGCGCCTCACGCGCCGCCCTCCGCGCCGTGCCCGCAGGACTGCACCATCTGCATGGAGCGCCTCTCGGCGCCCTCGGGCTACAAGGGCCCGCAGCCGCCCGCCAAGCCCGAGCTCGTGGGCMAGCTGGCCCGCTGCGGGCACGTCTTCCACCTGCACTGCCTCGTCGCCATGTACAACAACGGCAACAAGGTGCGTGCGCCCGCCTGGTTCCTTTGGGAATGGCCATGGGCAGCGCCGGGGCAGCAGCCCGGCTTGTGCAAGCCTCGTTGGTTTCTATATATATATATATWTTTTAAGCTGTGTTTAAATGGTTCTCTGCTCCTGTGCTTGGTAATGGTGAACTTTGCTCGGGGCGTTGCGGCGGTGCTGCCCCCGTTTGCACCCGCTGAGGCCGTGTGGAAGCCTTTGCAGACGCGCCTTTGGTTTGGGACACTAGGAGGGAAAGGGCCCGTGCGCTGGGGATTGCTATTATTAGCAAAAAAAAAAAAAAAAAGG